ATGAAATTATGAATTAGTACTTAGGTTGGTCCAAGTAGCTATTCAGAAACTCTGGCATTGAAGCATGCAAGTCTTAAAGCTGTCAGGTTTGAAGACCCCTAGTTTTTTTCTCTAAAGGATTAGGGGTGCAAGGATCTTGTAACTTGACAGCTTTAAGACTTGCATGCTTCAATGCCAGAGTTTCTGAATAGCTACTTGGACCAACCTAAGTACTAATTCATAATTTCATATCCGGTCATATGGGTGGGAAGCCACTCCCACAAAGGAGGCCACACCCACAGAGTAGGTTCCAACAATTTTTGAAACCCACCACTGGTGTGGAGTGTTAAATCCTTTCTCACTCTTTCCTTGTCCTCTTCCTTTCTTCATAGTGCTGGCTGCGGTCGGACAGGTGTGATCTGTACATTGGAATATGTACGGCAGCTGCTGCTTAAAGAGGTACTTGGACCCTACTAAGCAAACTCAACCAGAAAAAAAATAAAGAAGTTGATTTCTTGATGAATTGAAACTGACTTTGTGTGTGTAGCTTTTTATATTTAGTTCTGGCCTGTGTCTATATACTGATATAACATAGAGCCTCCCAGATGCCTTGAGCAATGAGATTCCTACTACCTATTACTGTGGAAGTATGGGAATTATAGTATAATTTATTAGGAGAACATTGGCTTGGAAAAACCTGAGACAGTTGCAGAAATATTAAGGTATCACAGATGATGAGGAAGAGAAGATGTTCAGTAATGCGTACTGTATGTTTGAAGCATCTGCACATATAACCCTTTAATATTGTTGTGTGCTTACACTCCCAAGCAATGAAACTCCAGGTTGCCATGATTTATTCAGTGTACATTTTCCCTCAGAAGAGGCCTTAAAAGCAATTGGTGGCATTTAGTCACATAAAGCATATTCTTGCATAGTGCTTAGCCATGTAGGAGAGGGCAGCCATCAAAACTAAATATATACTCAAAACCTGGCAGTAGCTGGGTGTGTTGAAAGTTATCTAACTCCCTGTTCAAAACCTGGGGACTCCATGCAGCCTAGCAGGTGGAGGGGAAAAAAACCCACAATAGTAGCAGTGAAGAATAACTCAGAGCTAGAAAGAATGGGTCTGCATCGGTTTGAAATTGTCCCCAATATCACATTTCTCCTTCCCCAAGGATTATGATGTCAGAATAATCAGCAACAATCAGCAACTAGATTTTACACATCTTGGAACTGCTGTAGGTTACTGCCTGCTCCGGGGGGGGGGGGGGAAACATATTGAAAAAGATAAGCATGAATTAAGGCATGAACCTCATTCATGACTGTGGCACGCTAAAGGCATGTGGTACAAACATAGCAGAAGGAAGATGGAGGGGGTGGGCAGGGCATGCTTGTATCCATTAGGTGCAAATGGAGAAAGATCTATAGTCTTTTTCTAAGAATCGGCTAAGTGAGCTGGACAAAAGCTTAACCTTTGACTGGATTATAGTGATCCCCATACATTTACTTCAAAGGGAACTTTCTTTCCCCCATGCAAATAGCAGGTGCAAACACAGTGTATAGGATTAAATATCCTTCAAATCTACCCAGAGATCTCAGTTCAAATCAGAAGGAGATTGCGGGAATGGTAGCCTAATTTTTTGCTCACCCATTCATCACCAAGGTACTTGTTCTCAGGAAAACTTCCTGAGTTGCTTGTCCCTTTTTAATGCAGATGGTTTCTTATTAAAGTACCCTCATAGCTCAAAGAGAATTATAGTGGAAGGGAATAGTAAAATAGATTAGTGTATGTATACATATATGCAGATAACTTCTGTTTGATAAACCCCAGTTGAGATCAAGATCCCCCTCTGATGATGTTCCAGGTAGACTTTGAAAATGAAATTATTCTCCTAGATCTTGAGATAGGAAGTCCATGCAAGATTTAGTTTTGTTTGCCATGGATTTTCTTCTGCTGAACAGACATCTCTTGTTCTTTTACTTTATTGTACTAGCATTTTATCATTTAAAACATCCAGTCATTGAAAGTCTGGCATTTTTTAAAATTATGCATAAATGTTGTTCTGTGAGAAAAAAAGAATGTATCCTCATTTGTCAGTTTTTCATTCTTTTTCAGAGGATTTCTCCATATTTCAGCATTTTTGATATAGTCCTAGAAATGAGGAAGCAGAGGCCAGCTATTGTCCAGACCCAGGTGAGTCCCATTGCCAACTCAAGATAGTTGAGTGCGGCAAAACACCAGGACTGCTCTTTTCTTACCAATATAGAAGCTGACTTGACTAGATGACCTTCAAGGTCCTTTCGAACTCTGTTATTCTGTTCTTCAGGAGACAAAAGGTATACCTGCCATAGCTGGGAAGAACAAATTAGCTTGGGGAATACCATGCAGATATTGAAACTAATCTTGGGGGGGGGGGGGGAAACACACTTCTCAATACTTATTAAGATCTCAGAGGGATGAAATAATTCTACCAGAATCTAAATAAAACTTGCATTCTGAAAATCCTTTATTCCAACCAAGAAAAAAAAAGCTAAAATAAATGCCTAGTGATAAGCCTGAGGGTATAGGTAGTATAGATAGCCCAAACTTCTCAAGGAAACTGTAATTTATGCCGTGTGAACCTTGAAGAATGTCCCTGCTAAGGGGAATTGTATGGCAACATATATATATATTTATTAAAATAATGAGAAATTACAAGGGTATTCTTAGAAACACCAGTAGATGGAAGCTAATATTGCCTTCAGGATCAGTTTTTTCCTGCTGTCAACCTATACCTGTGTGAGCCCTGGAGGCCATCTTTTCCATTGGATCTTCAGGGCTGACACACTTAGTGCTGTGGGGAAACATGGAGTTGGTGGAGATTTATAGCCATAACAACATTCTTTTCTCTGGGAGTCAAGGACGTTCAGTCTGCACCAGGAGAGGCATGACTGGGGAACATCTCCAGTTGGAACGGTGGAGTGATTGGACCATGTGATGGGCATGTGGGTGCAGGGGAAGGGAATTTGACTTTCCTCTAGGTGGGGAAAACCCGGGGCCTTTCAGATTCGGGTTTTCCCAGATGTGCCAATGTGACATCTCTAATAAAATGGAACTTTGAGGAACTGCTGGCCTCGGAGTCTCCTTGGTTGAGGGTGTTACCTGGAACCCTGACAGCCTGTTTTACTAAATCTGGCAAATACTTAATGGGAGCCACTGAGAATTGCTACCAAATACTTGTTTGCATGTAGATCCACAACTACATGTAGTCCTTGACTAACAACCATTTATTTAATGACTGTTCGATGTAACAATGGCACTGAAAAAGTATAACCGTTGCAGCATCCCAATGGTCACATGATCAAAATTCAGGTGCTTGACAACCGGCATGTATTCATAACTCGTGATAGCTGTACTGGGGTCATGTGGTCACATTTTGCATCCTTCCCAGCTGGCTTCTGACAAGCAAAGTCAATGGAGGAAGCCAGATTCACTCAACAACTTCGTGATTCTGCAACAAAAAGGATTGTAACATGGGGCAAAAATCACTTAACAACTGTCTTGATTTGCAATAGAAATGTTGGACTCCATTGTGGTTGTAAGTGGAGGACTATCTGTACACAAATCCACCTCCTTCTATATGGCAGCAAAGAGCTAGACTTTTTTTTGCATCTCCTTGCTGTAGTTTAATAGTTGCTTACAGTTTGCAGCACAAGCATACAATAGCCCTATCTGCATGAGCAAACTACAAGCTTATAGTTTAAAAACGATAAGTTCCCCACTCATCTGTGTCACATATTTTCTTGCCAGGAGCAGTATGAGTTTGTGTATCGTGCAGTCACTGAAATGTTCCGGGATGCCCTGGGCATTTCCTGTCCAAATTATGAAAATCTCAAAGAGGTAAGAGATGGGACCAAACAAGCTTTTTCCACAGAGGGCGTAATGGCTTCCCTCTTTTATGCAAAATGGAGTTTCCCCCCTTAGGCCAGACAGTCATGAGGCAATTGTGCTTTCTTGAAGCAACCTTACAAGAACTACTTTGAAATACTTGGTTTAATGCAGGCAAAAATTAAATCCAGTACTGTATTATTCATTGTATTTTATGTGTTTTGTATAAGATATGACAACTTATCCCCGTGAGACTCAGGATTTTGATTTTGATTTCCCTCTTATTCATATGATCGTTTTAATCCCCATAATTGTTTTTCATTTCCCAAAGACTTACTCTGGCTTCTAAAGTCCTTTGTATTTAGTGAAGTTAATTCTGAGATCAGCATACAAAGATGAAAAAAGTCCTCCTATCTTGTGGTTCAAGGCAGGAGCTCCCATTTCATCGGTTCAGTGTTGCTGAGAAAGGAAGATTTAATCTTTCTTATTGCATTTTCTCTACCCAATGGTACTATTATTTCTGCAAATAGGGGGAAAATGTCACTATATAAATATTCACCCTGGGTTTCAAAAATTTTTACAACCTCTTCTGTAGGTGTGGCCTGCTTTGTGGGAGTGGCTTGCTGGCCATGTGACTGAGTGAGAGTGGTTTGCCAACCAGGTGACCAGGTGGGAGTTGCTTGCCAACCATGTGACCATGGTTGGCAAGCAACTGGGTGGGCGTGGCCAACTTGTAAAATGTGGTGAAACTTACTTAACAACGCTCTTGCTTAGAAACCAAAATGTTGGCTCAGAAACTTGGCATTTGAAGCAGGCAAGTCTTAAAGCTGTCAAGTTACAAGACCCTTGCACCCCTAACCCTTTAGGAAAAAACCCCAGGGGTGTTCAAACTTTGCAGCTTTAAGACTTGTGGACTTCAACTCCCAGAATTCCTCCTCTCGCTCTTCATTTGATGATGGGTGGATGGACAGGGGGAGGGAACTGGAACTGGTTCTAAACGGCACTGTAGATTTGTGGAACCTCTTCTATAGAAGAGGTTAGAACTGTCAGGAACCCACCCCTGCCCTCGCAGGATGGAAAAAGCCTATTGGAGACTCTAACCCATCATTGCCTCTCCCTGCCCTGCAGTGGTGATTCAAAATCTTTTACTACCAATTATGTGGGTGTGGCTTGGTGGGCATGGCAGGGGAAGGATAGTGTAAAATCTCCATTCCCTCCCCACTTCAGGGGAAGGTTACTGCAAAATCTCCATTCCCTCCTAATCAGCTGGGACTCGGGAGGCAGAGAATAGATGGGGGCGGGGCCAGTCAGAGGTGGTATTTCCCAGTTCTCCGAACTACTCAAAATTTTCTCTACCGGTTCTCCAGAGCTAATCAGAACCTGCTGAGTACTGCCTCTGTTGCCCTGGCCCAATTGGTTCTTTTTCCCCCTCAAAAGAAATAAAAATATTCATCACCAACAGAAAAAGAGTTGCTTCCATTTTAACTTCATAGAAAGTGAAGCATCATGAAAATGGTGGGCACAGTTGGCTGAAGCAATGCTCAATGTTATTCTTTATTTGTTAGATTTATATCCTGTCCTTCCTTTAGTGCAATGATAGCAAACCTTTTGGATTTGGCATGTCAATAATTCAGAAAATACCTCTTTATTCTCCTGCTCTCTCTCTCTCTCTCTCTCTTGCTCTCTCTCTCTCTC